TTTGTTAATGATTCCAATATGATTTCATCTTATACTTTATGAAAATTCAATATTGTTTTCATTTTTCTATGTAATTCTTTGTGTTGTTTCATGCATGAACATATTTGCTACTGTCCTGCCGCATTTCGTGTCAATCACAGCTGTATTTGTCGATTTTTTTGCAGTTTATCACTCCATGCTTAACTTTTGGCAGTGAGTGTGATTGATATCGTTTTTAACTTTGTGAATTTTTATCTAATGTCAGCTTTTTATTCGAGCCCTTAAAACATATTTTGTGCTCACCTTGTATTTTGTAATTTTCCCATTCAAATGCCACCATGCCACTGAGCTCAATAGGAAGAATGGAGTGTTGCAAAAGGGGGTTGAAGTAAATTCTACCAATAGTAGTCATTGATCTCCTACCAGAAGAGAGGATGGTCAACGACTACTAATTAATACTGCTCTACTATTGATATTTGAAAAGTGATCAGTGTTGGATAGGTTGCTAATCAAAGTTGTCAATATTAATGTCCAAAAGACTTCATATAAGACTTGTTTAAATAAAAAAAATCTTGTAAAAATCCAAAATTAATTGCTTTTATTTGATCCCATACAAAAACTGGTAAAACCAGGTTTGTAAAGCTCAGCAAAAACATCTAAGTAAAGGAAACTTGTGAATTTGTGTCATAAGAATAGTAATTGCAAATTTGACAATAAGACTCAACATGTGTATAAAGTGCACATTACACAGACGATTACAGGAAATTTTGAATGAAGCAATGTCGTCATGATAATAAATAGAAAAAATAAACATCGGCACAGAAAAAGACTTCAAACTCTACTTTGTGTCTTAAAATATTTGCATATACAGTATATTAATTTGTTTGAATGTTAAACTTCTTTCACTGATACTGCTTAAAGACATTCTAAGGCAATGGGTTTACAAGTTAATAAGGGAGATAAAATTGGGAGAGGACAGGGTGCCCAAGTTTCTTGGTAAAAGTTAAGTATATCCTCATAAACATCACATTTATAGAAAAATTATTAGAATTGGTTTGATTTATTTGGTTACAGCAACATGACGTGTGTGATTTGCCAAGGAGGATGCATTCCAAGAAGACATGTAAAGCTCCTAAATTTGGAAAAGAAACAACTAAACAATTATTATAAATAAAATTCAAAATTTTCCTGGGGTACATGATTTAAGAAGTATCTTATAGATTTTATTTATTCAAATAGATTTTCTTCCATCTGTATCACTTATCATTTGAGTAATCAGACTTTAAACACTTTATTATATTCCTCTAAGTTTAAATCACTCACTCAGCAACATTAAAGCCAAATCGATTATAACAAAAATGATGTTTTAAAACTTAATTTGAGTCATGATACAATCATCTGTTTATTTGTAACAAAACAGAATATTTGATCTTTTCGGAAACAATGGTTTGACATCCATGTCTTCTGCAATTTGAATCATAATACTTATTACAGATTCAAACAATTCATCAGTTCTAAATTCATTTAAATTGTCCATTAGTTTTTTAAATTTTCAAGAGCTTAAGTTAAAATTGCAACTTTGAATGAAAGATTTTGCTGACAACATTAATTTTACTTAAAATGTTATTTTTTCCATTATTATTTGGCACAAATTTAAATGAATGTGTTGCCTGAAATCTACTGTCCATATCTTTATTTAAATCATATGCAATGTTTTGTAAAGTGAAAAATTTCTGTAGTCTACAATTTCAAGGGACTAATTTCCTCAATTCTCTAATTTTTTATAACCAACAGTTGTCACAACATTTATTATTATAGTTAGTACTTTAAAGTCAGTACGGTGCCTTTTATTAACTGGTGCCGCTGTGCAATGACCAGCCTGCATACCTATTTGCACTGGTCCTGAGACTACCTAATTTAAATTTGCCTGGGAGCCATGAAACTATAATCCGCCACTGAGTATGATATTCTGAGTGGTTAGTTATCGGATAATGTTGGTGTTGGTTGGTTATTTGTGGTGTATCCAGTGTGGTGAGAAGTTTGAAGATTTAAAAGTCACATGATTTGTTGATAAGAGAGTGGTTTGAAATGTAAAATTGAACATTTACAAATTCATACATGGTAGAGGAGTCTTCTTAAATACTTGTAGAGAAAATCCGTCCAGAGTATTCCTTAGCGTTTTATGAGAATGGGGCTACATAGGCAACTGCTATATCACAGGTTGACTATATCATTTTCATACAAAAGTATTTATAAATGTTTATTTTCATCAAGTGATCATAATACAAAATAAATTCCAAATTAAAATTTTTTGTTGTTTCTCAAAATCAGTCTGCATACTAGGTCTATAATTTTTGATTTTACAGACCTAGTATGCAGGCTGCTAGTATGACCAAAACTGAAAAGTACATATATTTCAGTATATGCTAGAACAAACAGATGCTATAAGAAAGTTCTAGAACCAATTATGTTCATTCTAACATAGGCCACTGTTCATTAAAATAAATATAAAATCAAGAACTTAATAATTTAATTATTTTTTTGCTCTTTCTGCCCTACAAGCACTAAGACCTTTTTCCACTACCTAGGGCTGATCTGAAGAAAAGCAGGGCTTGGTGCAAGATTCTCACATGGGGCCTTGTGGAAAGTCAAGTAAAATGCTTTTTTTTTTTTTGACAGTTAACTACATTTTAAAATGAGATTATTATAAGAATAAAAAAGACACACAAATGATTTTTTATTTATATGTAAATAAATATTTATGCTCGTTTCATTTACCTTTCATTTATATCTGTTTTATAAATTTATTTCAAATTATATAGAACTTGGGTAAGTGCAGGGCTATGTGCCAGTGCACCATTTGCACTGCCCTTAGGCTAGCCCTATTGCTTGGCCGTAATAGGGTGGCTGGGTGGTGAGGAGGGACCTGACATAAGACAACATAAAAAATTCCTGGTGAGCTGCTTGCCTGGGTTCAATCAACAACACCTATAACTGAAGACCTCGGGACTACATAGCAAAAGATGCATGACATCATCAAGAGTTGGCCAAGTAGTCACCATTTCATCATTGTCATTCATACAAGTTCTTCATATATTTAGTACTTTTAATATCTGAGATGGTGGTGTTTAAATGTTGTGCCCCAAGATGCAGAGGAAATTATAAAAATGGTCCATGTGTTTCAATGTTCAAATTTCCCTCCAATTCTGATATTAGGAGAAAATGGATTCATGCATTAGCAAGAGATTTCAATCCAACTGCAAATACTTGTGTAAGTTTATAATTAATCTATTCCAATCCAAAATAATTAACATTTCTTTATTTAAATAAATAATTATAAGATATGATTATTTAAAAAGTTTAATTAATACACACATACTAGTTCTTATCTATATTTTAATGTTTAAACATTAATAATGTCCAAATATAAGTTTTATTGTAATTTTTTTTTGTAAAAAAGGGCTGAAGAATTTACAATTTAATAAAAATACATAATAGACTAAAAATGTCTTCACTTGTTGCCATGTCCAATCATCTGGAACAACTATCTTCCACTGCAGAGATGACCTTTGTTTAGAGGCTAAGCCTCTACAAAAACCTGTGGATTTTTAGACTTTTGCATTTTTTGCAGAGGCGTTGCCTCTAAAGAAAGGTCGTCTCTGCAGTGGAAGATAGTTGTTCCAGATGATGGACATGGTGACAAGCAAAGATATTTTTAGTCTCTATCACATATTTTTATTGTAATTGTTTAAATAACATCATCATTATTTTAATAACTGTTTCTGGTTGTTTTTTTATTTTTGTTCATGATTTATATGCTTTTTTTTTTTTTAAAGAAATTCAAGTTTTCTAAGTTAATTATATTTCATTTAATTATAAAAAGTTTGGAAAATTTTATATTTTTATTGTAATAAGTTTTTGAAAGTTATCCATGATATTATTAACATAAGTGATGATTAACCAGTAAATTTTTTTACTTACTGGTTGCTTACTTTGATTTAATGAAAAATTTGTTAATTTTGACAATTATATTTATAGTTTAATAAATTATCCTAAATGTAATTTTTTATAATGCATTTTTTTATCATCACCATCACCACCATCCCTATGCTATTACTCTTAATGTCTAGTAGTTAATTTGAAAAATTTATTTATTAGAAGTATATAATTTCATATCAGTAATTTGTTTTATCTAAGTTTATATAACTTTCATTTGATCCAATAAATCATTTTTAATCAAATGATCAATTCTGTGATTCCTCTATTATCTTACAAAATTTTATCAATTGTATCATTTTCAGACTTGATGAAATGCTATTTTCAGTATAGATATAAATGTTTTAGAAACATTTATCTATGGTCCTAAAATGAAATTATTATTAGAGTAAACATTTATAAATTTTTAAATTTAATATTAGTTCTATAAATCTATAAAATACAGCATGATTATTCTAAAAATAAAATCAATAAACCTAGTATTTTAAAGTTGTAATATTGAACCAAAATACAATAATCCTTTGATTTTCCATTTGAGATCAACCAAAAGAAAACTAAAATTGGGTCAGTTTTTATAGCATAGAAGATACACTAAGAATCATAAACTGACACACAAAATTGGGGATTAATGTATGCTTGTCATTGGTCATTTTAAATCATCAATTACCAAATGTTTTTGATTTGATAAATTTTTGCAAATTTTTATATATTGGAAACAAACCTAATAAGATGTTTTAATTTTCAAAAAAATTGGTTTTGTACATATAGGCATATTAAGTGTCCTGGCACTTTTTAAATTATATATATAAAGTGTTTACCTAATAACATAGAGATATAATTTTATTTCAGAGTTTGATATATCTGAGTTTAATGAGATTAATTTTTGTTAATTTAGTTTTAGTTTAAAATAATTCTATAGCTTGAATGTCTTGATTTGTGTAATTATATTTTTAATATTTATCTAGGTTTGTGAATTGCACTTTGCTGATGAAGACATTATTAAACATTCTGAATATTATGATGGAAAGTCTGGATCACTGTTAAAGGTTCCATTTAAGTATCCTAAACTTAAAGATGGTGCCATTCCAACATTACTTCCAGATTATCCTTCCTATTTATCATCTCACATTACTGTAAGAGAAGGGTCAGAAGAAAAAAGAAATTGTCTTGAAATGGAAAATATTCAGAAAGCTATGAGATAGCATAAAAAGCCAATCTGAATATGATGGAGGGAAAAAAGAAATGCTTAGTAAACATTTCTGATACTTGGCATGATTATATTGATAAAATTGTTTTTGCATATTTACAGACAGGTCCAATAACAAAATCTGTTATAATCAATAAAAATTTATTGGTAAAATTTCTTTAAAAAAGTTAGAATATCATTTACATGTTGGGGAAAATTAAAGTTATTAACTTTTTCTGTATTTCAAGAATAATAATAATATGTCAATTATCCAAATAGTGAAAACAATTCAATAGAACTTGTTGAAATAATTTACGATTTATTAAAACAGCTTCAGAGCAACATGATAATGAGCATCAATAATGATAATGATGATGTTTCTTGGCAGTTATCTTTGATAACTGTCAACAAAGATCATAATCATTATTCAGCAGAACTTTTCATTTTATCATGTTTACTGTTTTCTATATCTCCCAGTGCATATAAATTTTTGTGAAATTCAAAATTTATATTACCTCATCCTTGCACTATTCATAAAATTTGCTCATTATTTAGTTTAAACTCTGCAAATGAACAATTTAAAGAGAACTTTTTATTATATGCCAAACAAAGATTTCAAATTTTAAAAGATAATAAAACTACAGTCAACTTGATGATGGATGAAATTCATCTGAAATCATTATTTATTTAGAAGAAAAAATACTTGAAAAATTCGAATCGATTTGATATAAAAATTAATTTTATAATCACATATTAAGCTTTGATTATATTAAACTGAATGCATTTTACTTGGCGTGAACATTGGTCTACTACTTATAATGTCATTACATAGTCCAGAGGTCTTCAGTTATAGGAGGTGTTGGTTCAATTCACCTTATCTGCCTTAGCCATCCAGCCATAAACTTAATTATGATCTTTAAGTTCTTGAAATAAATATGGCTTTTTGTGTTTATATTAAAATTGTATTATTTGAAGTACTTAAAAGTATTTATCCTGATGGTTTGACATTAATATTTTCTTTTACTTTCCAACTTATGAATTGCAATGTTGGATTACAGAGCAATTATTTTGAGAAACAGATGGATGAGCAGATTGACAGATTAAAGCAATGAGTAGAAGAAAGAACCTAATGGAATTAAAATTCTCATCCATCTTATCATTCATTGAATAATTTTAACAAATGATTCATGCTTCAATTTAAGGTAAATGTTCTAACATCTCTGAAACTTATTAATTTGGTTAGTAATATTGCTTGTATCAATTTTATATGTGGTAATATCTAGTTACCATCTCTATGTTGAAAATAATTCAGTAAACAGATATTAAAACAAAGAAAAGAATGCATGATTTCAAAATACATTTGTTCATCATAAAATATATACAAATATTTTAATTTCATATATTTTAAAGTATGATTGAACAGTATATATGTGTATATTAGTTTTATGTGAATTTTATAAATCCACAGCCTTGAAAAATTATCACATAGAAAAAGCCAATGAGGCTTTCCAGTACAAAACAGGAAGGCAAATGTATCACAAATGTTGTATACATTATATCTAAATATCCAGGCAGAAATTCTGTATTTAAGTACAATACAATTAAAGTTTTTGAAAAAGTATCAATTAAAAAAATTAACATTTGTTACAAAGCTCAACAGTGGACTTTAACTTATAAAAGTGGCACTTGTTCCCTTTGCCAGTCAAAGGCTTTTTCTTTCAATAAATACAAAATGTGCACTCACACATGTAATTCCGTGTTACAATATAAAAAAATAATAAATTAGAAATTTAAATTTCATTTCTGCTTAAGACAATATTGTAATTTCTAATTTGGTGTTTAAAATTTTTGCATTATTTCAATACATTAAAGTCATACCAAGTAGAAATTCTACGAAAAACTGATAATAAACAAGAATAAACTTTTTTCCAGCTAAAACTATAAAAAATATTTTTTTTTAAAGTTTGCAATACAATGCAAAATATATGCTTCCATTAGAGCAATTCATATGAAACTAAGTTTTTTTTTTAACCTCTGACCATTAGTTGTCATAAATAAATATATGTTGGCTATCACAATCTTTTTGGAAAGATTTGTTATTGGAAGACTTTGAAGTTTAAGCTTACAGAATTATGCACAATACATTTTTTTTATTCTTCAAAACTGGAACTCAATCACCCATTGAAATAGTTCTGTATTTTGTCTTTTGAAAATTTCATCTTTTCTTTTTAAGGGCTTTCTGTTGTTTCTCCTCTTCCTCTTTTTTCATATCTTCTAAATCTTCTAAGAGTCCTATCCTTGCACTAAAAATAAATAAATAAAAAAAAGCAGTTTGAATGTCTAAAGTCAAAATACCTGTTTCATATCAAAATATAAAATCACTAACAGAATAAGAGAACAAAGACAGAATTTCAAAGTTCATTTGTCTGTTCTTTCTATACAATTGTCATTTCTGTACATGAGAATTATTTTGTAAAGCTGAATACAGTAGAATATCGATTATCCGACTCAATTGGGGACTGGGGTTGGTCGGATAATTGAAAAGTCGGATAACCAAAAAGTATGAAAAAATCCATTGTTAGTGTATTATATTATTATATCCCATGTAATTAGTATATTAGTATATCGCTATTAACCTACTTCGTGTTGAATTTTCATCAATGTTAAGCCTAACAAAAATTTTTTTAAAATAATAATCATCACTATTGTATCGTTAAAAATTAGAAAATTAAGCCTCGTTTAAATACTGGCTCCCTTTTATGGTCGAGCCAGTGTTGCCAGCTAAAACATGTAAAAATAATATTAAAGTAGCTAAGACATAGCCAAATATTGTAGCGTCACATCACTAGCGAACATTTGAATTTGCCGACTAGAACGCAGTCGGTTAACCGAGGTGACAGATAATCAATGCTCTACTGTATATATAAAATATAAATGCATAAAATAATTTTCTTCTAAGTCCTAATACATATAATATGCCAAACAACTATCCGATTATATCAGACTACTTTTTCACAATTATATTTAATATAAATAAATAACTCAATATAATTCAGTTAATTGTTTGGCATGTTACAAATTTATCGGGTTTAGTGATGTGATATTTGTATAAACAATATATATTTTATTTATTTAAAACATTTCTTTAAATATAACTGTCATATTAATAGAGTATAAGAGTTTCAATTTTTTTCACTTGTTTTGAAAGTCAACATTAATTTAATGAATATTTACAATAAAAAGAATGTTAATTGACTTCAACCAGATTTTCAACCATTTATAGTTGAATAAACCACAAAAAAAATCACCTTACAAAACTATGACAAGACATTATGTATAAGAACTATCAATAATGGAATAAAAATTTTTTCTTGTTAATTACAAAGAACACAGCGTAGTGTAATGATAAACTTTGGAAAAAATAGTGAAAGTTCACCAAGTAGGCCTACTAGACAAAATTAGTTCTATCCATGACCTTTTCATGGTGGATAAGTCAGGGAAATCTGGAAGATGATAGTAGTGTATAAAAGTACATTTCTTGTTGCATTCGTGCAGTGTTTAAAGTTTTGCCCTTTGCCAGCTTTTTGGGAAGTAAATTAACATTTTTTTACACTTACTACATCTCTTATCTAAATATATAAAATTACTTGTCCTGACTGACTGAATGATTCATCATTGCCCAGAGCAAACTGCTGAACCTAGAGGTGAAATTTTGTACACAGTTAGGGTACATCATGAAAACGCACACTAAGAAGGGATTTTTGGAAATTCTCCCCACGGGGGAGAGGATTAAGGATTAACCTGAAGAATGGCTTCTACTGTACTATTTTAGATGCAATATTTTGTTTTCAACTACACTTAGTTTTCATTGAGTACTTAGGTATAACATTTCAGACATTGTTATAAATATTTTTATATATTTTGATTTTTTAACCAAATGTTCAAACCGTTTTAAATTTGAATTTATTCTTGCATATTGGTTTGATTATAAAACGATTGTAACGTTCCAGAAAATTGATCAAATTGAAAATAGTTTGTTTGATTCTCAGCAATTCTCATCATTCTCAGTTGTAGGTGTTACATAACAATTACTATGGTTGTTGAAATACTGAATATAAATGGGGTTTGCTTGCAAAATCCACACAGGCGAAGTCGCGGGTAACAGCTAGTTATGTATTGATATAAAGTCATACATCATTTGCATAAAGACAATTGTATATTGTGTGTTGTACACAAGTATGATAAGAAATAGGAAATTAAAGAAAATGTTATCAAAGGGTGAGAATAACATTTAAATCTACATATATATTCTCATTTTTTTAATTTGATTCTCAATATTTGACAAAGACAAAATGGATTAGCTATGCAATCAGCCAACTTTGGGCTACATCAGAAGCATTAACCCAGACAAGAAACATAAATGTTTACAAGTTTCCCCCCCATTGTGACAGTGATGAAAAAGTGTGGGTATAGTGTGAAAACAGTTTATGACTAAATCCAAATATCTCAACAAAAAAGAGAGATTTGAAAAATTTTAATTTGGCTGTAAATATGTAAATATGTAAGCCTATTGATATATATATATATGCAATGTCCTTTTTTTGGAAGTTGGAATTGGCAATACTACGTGATGTGAACATCTATGTTATAGGAGAAGTACTATACACCTAAAGTTTTTTTGAAAGTGGTAGAAAAGTGATAGAAAAATCATACAAGTCTTACTATAACCTGATTATATTACTTTTATTTCAATAGTAGAGTAAACAAAAATACAAAAATTTAACAGTATGTATTTATAAATTCAAAATAAAAAAATCAAAGGAAACACATGCACCAGTTGTATTTTTTCAGTAGTCAATTTATTGTTTTACAATTTCAGTATTAACTGCTTATTGCCTATAAGTTAAATAATTATATATATTTATTATTTTTCTTATTTTTGTTCTAGTTTTATTATATTTACTTAGTTTCTGAAACAAATAGAAATAGAACACATTCATTAATCAATTTTCTTTGTGTAGTGTGTTTTATTGTTCTATATTTTGGTATATTCTGCTTACTACCTAAAACAAAACATCCTACTATCTTAAGACAGTTTATCAAAGAGACTGAAAACTAATATATATGGACTGTTTCGTATAAAATGATACTGTTCACAAAAAATAGATAAATATGCATAATCTTAAATCATCAGATACAAACAACATTCTTTTTTGTGTTGGCTTGGTGCAAAAAACAAATAACAAAATCAGCGTGTTTTATTTTTTATCAAATTAATTTTATGAGTTATTTATAATATCAAAAATTTAAATCATAATTTAACATTTTTTTTTTGGCAAGTAATTTTTACTCCTAATGATTATTGTGCTAAAATCTTCATAAAGTAATAAATATATGTGAATTTTTTGTATCTCTAAGATAAAAATTTGATTTTTGGTGAATTTTAAAAATAAAATACATAGAGTGACCTGGAATGACTGCAGTTTGATCGTTGTTTTGAAAGGTATATAAATATAAAACTGACCACATTGTAGGGTTAAAAAAACTAGACTATATGACAGTACATGGAATCACACTAGAATAAACTCACATTTGTATTTGGGTGTTAAAAATTGATAAACAATGGTGTATTTTCATCAAAACTTTGATATTTCTCAACTCTTATCCTGTGACATTCAATTATTTGAATATTTTCAATTTCTAAAACATTTCAAGTCATCAAATTGTTTAACATGCTTTGTACAATGGAGTTGAAAAAATTGCAATAGTAACAATTATGCTGAACAAAAATTAAATATTTTCTATCATGTAACTTGGATATTTTTAGAAAAGTAGGAGAAGAATGACGACAATAGAAGCAGTATATCATCAAATAATCTCAAAATTAAATTATCAACATCAGATTTAAGACTTCACTACTACAGTAAGAATAAAAATTTGCTATAATAGTAAGAATAACCAGGACTGTCAAGAGGGATAGTTGGGGATTTTCCCTGGGTCTGGAGGAAATTAAAGGACCTGTATGGTTTTGTGGCCAACCTGGCAACACTTACCATGCCCCTAGTTTTTAGTCTTTTGTCTCCCGGGCAGCCAGTCTGACCACGTGCATGGTACTGCTGGCACTCTCTGTACTTGAGCGCATAATAAATTTGTTTTACTAGTTAAAATCTGTAATTACAGTAGACCCCCTATAACATGGGTTCGTATAATACAGATTCATATAACACAGTGAAAACATTGTGACCGTGTTCATATAAACACGCTAAAAGAGACTCATAATACAGTAAAATGTCATCACTGACTCGAGTCACGACAGGATTGGTTGAATCTAGACCAATAGCGGATATTGCACAAACTGAGTTTAAACGAGCAGCAAACCTACTAAAAACCATTTATTATTTAATGGCCATAAAAATTATATTTATATTAATGATGTCTCCAAAGTTAAGTTATTTTTCTGCAAAACATTTGCTGATCAGGAAACATGCGCCCGCCATTCGGTGCGCCGCTCTGCGACGAAAAAAAACTTAAGCAATGGCGTCGTCGAACAGTGCACACTCGGTAAGTAATCTTACAATTTTTTGTTTATAGCATAGTTTATATGGATTATTCCCAAAAAATTATACGTGTTTTGGAAATGTTGAGTCAAATTAGTCTAGAATTGATTAATTTTATGGAAGAAAACCTTTCAAACAGCCGTAGTCCATAAACTGCACACGTGCCGGGCTGTGATTGGCTCATGTATTTAAGGACTCGTACAACATGAATTTAATAAAACACGGAACGTATCTACCATGTTATAGGGGGGTCTACTATTTGGTCAAGACTCCAAAGTGGTGAGCTGGACGTGACCACAAGAACTTATTTACCCAATTCTGTGAGTATTTACATTAGTTATATATTTCCGTCATGAGCAAGAGTGAATACCCCGTTGAGGTAGCACGAGTATCGGTGAAAATTCCACCCTTTTGGAGAAAGAATGTTAGAGTATAGTTTACACAGGTGGAATCACAATTTGCTGTCTCTAATACCACAACAGAAGTTACGAAATACCATCATGTACTAGGATCGCTTGACTGTGAAATAGCTGAATTGGTCACTGATCTAATATCCCAACCGTTGACAAGCACATTCCCCCTCATGTTCAGAGAGACAACAGCACTCTCCTAGTCTAAATCTACTGGGTTATAATGTTTGTTGGTATCATTTCAATTTCAAAGCTATTGCCAGGAAGTGCACCCCACCTTGTTCTTTTAAACATGTCATCAAGGAAACCTTGAGAAACAACTAAGCCCCGCTCTCTCTGCGACTTAGAGGGACAGGGAGAAAACATCCAATCGCTTATTTATTTTTGATATTACCACTGGTTGCAGATTCCTGGTAGACTCGGGGGCAGACATCTCTGTCTTACCTCCCACCATCCTAGAAAAATGACAGTAATCATCAACTTTATGCAGCTAATTGCTCCATGATACCTACAAACAAGTGCCTCTTTAAACTTGATATTGCACTCTGACGAACATTTTGCTGGCCATTTACCTTAGCGGATATACAGCACCCTATTATAGGAACAGACTTTCTAAGTCACTTCAGCATTCTTGTGGATTTAAAGAATAGGTGCTTGAGAGATAATCTCACTCACTTGGCAACCCCAGAACTACCACCACCACTAATCAGTAAACTGTGCTAATAATATAACCCCAACAGAAGTATTCCAAGCTTCTTTTGGAGTTTCCCAATCTCTTGAAGGGACAACCTACATATCAACAAGTTAGTGACCATACTGTCTACCATATAATCGTCACGACAGGAGCTCCAGTCACTGCTAAGCTGAGACGACTCCCTCCTGATAAGCTTGCACAGGCAAAGCTGGAATTCCAACAGATGATAGACATGGGAATATGTAGTCCCTCCAAAAGTTGTGTCCAGCCCATATCTTGTTCCAAAGAAGGACGGTTTATGGCGTCCTTGTGGGGACTACTGGGCCGATACCCCACCTTCAAGATTTCAATTGCCAACTGAGAGGCAAATCCATCTTTTCTAAAATAGACCTGGTGCAGACATTCCACCACATACCCGTGGCACCAGAGTATGTTCCAAAAACGGCTGTGATCACACCCTTTGACTTATTTGAATTTTTAAAATTGCCATTTGGACTACGCAATGCTGCCCAGTCATTTCAAAAATATATCCACAATATTTTACGTAAATTAGACTTTGTCTACTCATACCTTGATGACCCCGTTGCATCTCAGTCAGAGGAGGAGCTCTTGCTTCATTTAAGAACACTGCTCACAAGGCTGCGCAGACACGCCATCAACATCAACCTGTCAAAGTGTGTTTTTGGTGTGCAAGCGGTTTCTTTCCTGGGCTACGTCGTCTCCCAAGCAAGAATTGTAACCCTGCCTGAGCAAGTCCAAACCATCCAAAACTTTCCATGCCCAGATACCATAGAACAGCTCAGAAAGTTTCTAGGGCTGGTCAACTGTTACAGATGTTCACTGCCCAACATGGCATGCACGCAACAAGCTCTCTTTGATTTGTGCAAAGACACCAGGAAAAGAGACAAACGTAAAGTGCAATGGACCCCAGAGTCAATTGTAGTCTTTGAACGACTCAAAGAGGAACTAGCAGGTGCTACCCTCTTGGCCCAACCCTCCACTGACCTTCCAATGATGCTGATGGTGGATGCATCAGACTTTGCTATAGGAGCAGCTCTTCAACAGAAGAATAGTTCCATTGTCAAACCCCTAGGCTTTTTTTCTAAGACACTAACCAAACCACAGGCCAAGTACAGCACATATGACTGTGAACTCTTAGTGGCATATTCAGTAGTGTGATACTTCCACCATGTCTTAGAAGGCAGGAATTTCACAATATATACCGATCATAAACTCCTAACCTACGCATTCCAGCAGTGTTCAGATAAGGCATCCCCTCCCAACTCCGTCATTTAGACTACATAAGCCAATTTACCACAGATATCAGGTACATACCAGGGAAGGTCAATGTAGCAGCAGATGTCTACTCAAGAATCAACTCTATTTTTCTCTCAACAGGAATACCTCTGGAAGATATCGCCGCTACATAAGCTGTGGACAAAGAGCTTGCTCACCTTCAACAGTCACAAACATGTTCACTGAAATTTGAAAAGGTATGCCTCAAAAACAGAATTGAAGTGACATGTGATATCTCAACTGGTAAACACAGGCCTTATATACCTGAACAGTTCTGCCAACTAGTTTTTGAGTCGCTACATGGTTTAGCACATCCAGGAATGAGAGGTTCAGTGGATCTGGTCAGCAAACGCTTTGTTTGGCCATCAATGAAGAAAGATGTCAGATTGTGGGCTAAAACTTGCATCCTGTGTCAAAGAGTCAAAGTAGGAAAATACACTAACAGTGCAGTGGGGACCTACAGCCAAGTCGATTGCCGTTTTTTTCACATCAATGTTGATATAGTGGGCCCCTTGCCATCTTGCCAAGGTTTTACTTATCTAGTCACAATTATAGACAGATTTTCACATTGGCCAGAAGCCATACCGGTGGCAGACATTTCAGCTGAGACTATAGCCAATGTAATCCTTGCTACGTGGATTGCATGCTTTGTCATACCACGTATTGTAACCACTGACAGGGGTCGCCAGTTTGAATGCCAACTTTTTGCTGATCTCGCAAAAGCCCTGGGAATTAACCACATTAAGACAACAGCTTACCACCCAACCGCAAACAGAAAAATTGAATGATGGCATCATCAGCTCAAGTCCTTGCTGAGAGCTCAGTTGATTGATAATTCGGTTGCTAAACTCCCAACCATCCTCTTGGTGCTAAGATCCTATGTCATCCCCAACTATAACACTACAGCAGCAGAGATCACATACGGCAAACCCATTGCACTGTCTTCTGATCTCACTGACCATGAGACTACTTCAGCCAATAATTTTCCTACCTTGATCTGAGGTTGAAAGATCATATGAGGTCGATTCGCCCAGTCAGAGATGTCCACCACTCATCTAAAAATATATTTTTACACCCTGAGTTGATGACTGCCTCACACGTCTTCATGCATCATGATGCATCACGCAAACCATTACAACCAATCTATGATGGCCCTTTCCGTGTCTTACGACACTTAGAGAAACACTTCGACTTAGATACACCTCGAGGGAAGCAAACTTTCAATTGACCACCTCAAAACCGCTTTCTTTCTGAAAGTTACAATCACCCCTCCGCCATTCTCCAACAGTGACAAAACATTCTCCACCCACTGGATGAGACCACTCAAATCCAGGCACCTTGCCCACGAATGACTCATTCTGGACAAACTGTACATTTCCCTTCTAAGTTCCTGAGTATTGTCACTGGGGAGGGAGTATGTGGCCAACCTGGCAACACTTACCATGCCCCTAGTTTTTAGTCTTGTGTTTTAGTTTAGCAGGTGGAGACTCATGCACGTGGGTAGCCAGTCTGACCACGTGCATGGTACTGCTGGCACTCTCTGTATTTTAGCACATAATAAATTTGTTTTACTAGTTAAAATCTGTAATTATTTGGTCAAGACTCCAAAGTTTATACATCTAAAAAATCATTGTTGTTTTTTACTAACAGAAAATAAAAACTTTAAGACTGCTTTTTATTAATAGAGAAACATTTTATGTATTTCATTTATTCAAAAACAATTTCTGAAAAGGAATGCTCTATGCTTGGGCCCAATACAAACTCTTGACAGTCCTGAGAATAACATACTTGCTAAACTCATGCAAGAAACATTCATTCTGATAAAATAAATTTCATTTCATAAAGTAAAAGATGTGTTCCAGATTTTTATAGAAATAATAATAATTTTGTCCTCCTAGAACTTTATAAAATTTACTGCTGTATATGAATGATTGAATTTATTGTTTAAAATAACATATTGGGATATAATCACTGCTGTATCAATCAACTAATTAACTTTAAAACAATTATTTATGGGTTATACAGTTATACTATTATTCATGGGTTATAGTATCCTTGTCCAATTTTATTCTGTTTACATTACTTTCACATATTGTCAATGAACATTTTATGAATTAATAAAATAAAAGACTAGCTAAATAAATAATTCATTTTACCATTTTAATTTCTACAGCACAAAGCATTAATGTTACCTATAAATAGTCTGATCAAATTTTATATTATTTTAATAAATTTAATTTACCTTCTCCTTTCTTCTTTCATTTGCTCAGCATATGATGATTCCATAGCTTGATCATCAAATTCTTCTTCATAGCGATACCTATAATAATTTCTTTTTAATGTTTGAAAACAACATGTTTTACTAGTTATAAATTGCTTACTATACCTTCTTTTATCATAGCCAAATATTTCTCGAATATATCTGGAATAATCTTCATCATCTTCTTCCAATGGTCCATCATCAATGAAATCAGCCATATCATCATCATCATCTTCCTCTTCATCCTCCTCTTCTTCATCACTATCTACATTTTTTCTCAGAAACATGCCTTTAAACATATGTAAAAATCAGTAAGAGTAGTTTTCCTGTAAAAAAATTAAGTCATGTACTTACTAACTAATGGTCGTCCTTGACGATCACGCTTAATCCCAACATAATCAGCACTTGTTATTGGTTTGAAATTCTTGTTTGGAATTGTACCATTATTGGGTTGAGGAAATCTTTTAGATGGAATAGGTTTTTCATTTAATGTATTTCTTTCAGAATGTTTACTTATATTAGTATTAGAATTGCTTTTTAATATTTTTCTATTATTTTCCATTCTACTTAAATTTTCTGATTTTGTGATCATTTGCAATTTTCCAATTGTTGGCCTCTCTTTTTCTAACCTTTGCTTCTCCAAATGTCTTAATTTATTATTTGTTTGAATTTGTTCTTTTTGCATTAAATGCACCATACTACTTGGTGGAATGACCCTTTTTTTTTCTGCAAGAACTTTTTTAGGAAATGCACTTTCTTTCTGTACAAAGTTTGATTTGTTTTTACTCTCTTGTGAAACTTTTGGAACTGAAGTGTATTCTGGATATTTTGATTTTACTGTATTAATACTGTTATAATTATCCTTTTCAGTTTTAGTTTGAATTCTATATTCACTTTTTATTTTAGCATTTAAACTTTTTGCTGAAAATTCTCTATCAACTTTTTCATTAGTCCTTCCTATATCTCTTTTATAATCATCTTCTCTACTTTTAAATCTATCATGTTCATTCTTTTTATTTTCTATAGGAAGTTTTCTTTTTACAATTCTCTGATCATTAGACTTTTCTATCCTTTGGTTAATCCTATTTTCATTTCTAATACTTTCACTTTTGTATATTTTGGCAGGTGGAGACTCACTTCTATCTCTATTGTATTCATTACAAAAATTTCTTTTAATTTCAGATCTGTTCTGACTTAATTTGTGTGCATTTGCCATTGATTTTATTTTATCTTTTTCTTGCATGCTAGTTCTGTGATTATTTATTATACATTTTGTATTATTTATGTTTTTTGAGGTAGATTGTTCTTTCTTAAAATCTTCTGTAAAATACTGATACACTTCATTTGATGCTGAAGAAGAATTTTTAGAATGTTTACTTTTCATAAGAGATTTACTTGTATCATATTTTGATTTTTCTTCTCCATTTATGGTGAAATATTGTTTTGGTTCTTCGAATTCCTTTGCATTTTGAATGTTTCTTCGAACTGTGGAATTTTTTAACTTTTCTTGGAATTTATTTTCAACATACAAATTATTTCTACTTGACATGCTTTGTTTTATATTATTTGGAATTCGATTGTTTATCTTATTATTCAACAAAAATCTTTCTTCAATCTCTCTCTTTTTATTATTAATATAATCATGCCTTTTTTCAGAATTTTGTTTTAAAACATTATTTACTTTATTGTGACTTTTAGGTATTTCTACATTCTTTTCATCATTATCACCTGTATAATAACATGGAGTACTGTCATCTAACATTGCATCACATTCTTTTTTCTTCTTAGGTATTTTGAATAATTCATTTTTATGTTTTGAAACATCTTTAGATTTTTTTGAATCTAAATATTTTCTATTTACATTTATATTGTGATCCAAATTTGAAGAAATAATTTTTTCACTATGACGTACTCTGTTGGTCATATTTTGGATGGATGTTTGTTCAATTTTTTTTCTATTGTTTAATATTTCTGTATCATTCCTATTTTTTACAGATGATTTGTTTGTCGGAATATAATTTAATTCTTTTTGATTCTGAACTGATTTTAAATTAGGAATTAATGCTGGTTTCTGATACTGTGGAATGTATTCTTCTTCACTATGTAATTTATCGTCTGGTGTACGAATGTATTCTTCATATTTATTTGGTTTAGATGGAACTTTATTTTTATTATATGTAAAATTTAAATTATTATTATATGATGACATTTTTTGAGAATATTCACTGATTTCATTTGATTTATATAACTTTGGAGTTTTATTATTAGGCAAATTTTTTTTATATGATTTATTCAATTGTTTATGATTCATATTAGATTCTTGTAAAATTTCATTTTTTAATGAATTATTTGTGTTATATGAATTTTCTTTATTTTGTTTTAATTTATGTTTATCTGCTAAAATTTTATTATTTAACTTAGAATTCTGATTAATTTGTCTATGAACACTTTCATCTTCCTTTGTATTATAACTAGGAAGACTTGTTTTGGTCACTTGAATTTGTTCTTCCTCATACTCATCACTTTCTTCCTCAAAATCTTCATATTCTGAATCATCACCAGCTTCAAATTGTTTTTTTGCAGCAATTTCTAAGAGATTTCTGTAATCCATCACAGCTGATTTTGATTTTGATACTTGTTTTCTTTTTTCAATATCCTTCTTTTTGTTAACCAGTACAGGAATGGGAGCACTATTTCCATTAAATTTATATTCAATTTGCATGGGAGAATTAGTTGTTGTTTGACGCTGAGAATCACTAGTTTTTTTCTTTCTTGTTCTAGGAAGCTGATTATCTCTTTCCTCTAATTGGATTCTAGCTTTCATTCTGTCTACTGTGTTTGTTAGGCGTTTTTTATTCAGTTCTTGTTCTCTCTTTATTTTGGCTTCCACTTCATCTTCAGTAAGTTTAATCTTACTAAAATCATTATCTTTTGTTCTAGAAGCCATGATTTTGGCTTTTTTGTTACTCTTAGAGTTCTGGGCTCTAAGAGTGAGAAGTTTTTCTTTTCTTCTTTTAGCTTCTTCATCTAAATTAATATATATTTATTAGAAACTTATACATTCTTAGTATTCTAATAGTAAAATAAATATAATTCCAATAAGTAATAATATTTAGATATGGCAATAATATAATCAAAACCAACCAGCAAAAAGCTGATTCATTCTTAGAAAAATAAAAATGGGTTCAATGCTTTTCATTGAACAATAGAAATATTCTTTGAATCATTGAAGTGTTCACATTTAAACATATCATAAACGATCTATTTTATATAGCTGAATGCAAGGGAAAAAACTATTATCTGATAATAAATTTGTTTGTACTAAAAATCATCATCATCCATTTTCACAAATTAAAATCTTGAGGATGAGTATCATCATAAAATGATGTTATTTTAATTTTGCTTTGACAAAATATTTTGACTGAATTGTATGATTGGAAAGTTTATGCAAGAAAAAATTTTACAGATTTCCCTTAAATAATTGATGTTAAATGAAATGACATTAAATGTCAACTTGCTGTATATTATGTACTGTAGTGTAGTTGATATATATAGGGCTGAATGGTGGTTCAAAGAAGCTGTAGATCTCAGGCAATTTTTCTAATAAATCATTCTTAAAAATACTTTGAATATTTTATCATCAAAATAAAAAACAAGCAAAAGTGCAAAGATGCAAGAGGTTGTAAGTTCTAAACTAAAGAACTAAAGCTTAACCGAACCAATCTCTAGCTGAGTACAGTGGGGACTGATTTCTTCATAATATTAGATGTAATAAAGACAGAAATTTTTCCAGTTCAATGAGAGTGATTGAAAAGTAAATTTTGGAAATTTCTGTGGACACTTGGTCATAAAACAAATTAAACAAACAACGGACAATCTGTGGCAGTACGCCATGTCTTTGTACATAGGGTTAGATATAAGTTTTATTCTTCTTAAATTCCTTTGTCTTTAATGTCTGTTTCTAGAACTTTCTAACCTATTCTTTTTCTATGGGTGGGGGACAACCTTTGTCTAAGGACAAAGGGAGAAGACAAAGGGGATACTAAGAAGCCCTGAGGCCATCAGTAAAAACGAACAAGATACTTTTGGGTCAGCTTCCAAGGTGAACAACTGTAGGAAAGAACCAGCCAAAGTTTGTTGCCTAGTGGGACAAAAGGAGAAGGCTTGGAAGTTGTCTGTGAGAGGACGAAATAGAAGAACACCCAGATTAAGGCTTCAAGAACGCTTTGAATTCTCAAGGAATGGAAACGAGAGGAAGGAAATTGACTCAAGTTCCAATATAGAGAAGACCAGAGACTGCCAAATTTACCGGGTACCCCCACAAATCTGTCCTTTATACTTGTCTCTTCTCTTCATATCTCTTAATTTCTTCACCCTTCTTCCTTAGTATATAAGTTAGATTAAGGTAATTTAAGTTAGTTGTAATATCTCTCAAACCATAAATTTTCATTGTTGCGAACACGTGTCTCTTGCCTGTGAAAGCATAAAGAATATGTCGGACGGTGTCGAACTTATGTGCATACTATAGTTTGGGATCAAGTGTGTTTAGTGTAAACAAACCAGGTGTAAGAAGGACCACATAACCGTAGTTAAATAAAATCCTGTTTAATTTATAGTTACTTTTTTGTCATCCTTTTATTTGTCCTCCACACCACCACAAATCTATTAAGTTTAACATATTTATATTTTACAGAAAAATGTTTAAGTTTCAACAACCCTGTCACATCCTTTGAGGTATACTAGTGATGCGACAAAAGAGGCATTTGACATTGACCAGTATCAGCACCCTAGGGATTTGGCAGTCAGTGTGTATGCATGCATTGCAACCTACTCTGATTCCATCCATTAGCCACTGGTAGGGAGCTATTTGACTAAGTGGATTGTTTTAAGATTTAAAAAGTAAAGAATATTTTATGATATTTTTATGTACGTTTCTTTACAAAGCTATATTTAATTATAATTTTTTTTAAAAGTATATTCATACAATTAAAGAACATTTTGTACCAGATATGTACAGTACTGTACATCCACCACACATTTTATTTCACCAAGTAAGTTTTTATAATTTTATTTTTAATTTTAACCCTTATATCATGGCTAGTAATTCAGAATGTAATTGTGATATTAAAAATACATTTAGAGAAGTCTATGGTTTTACTGGCTTATCTAACAAACAAATACAAATCTAGACCATCACTGATGTGCAATTAACTGATTGCCCCTGGAAGTTGGCTTATTACAGAAACACAGCTTCCCTATCATCAACTGTCATGGTACGCCACTGTAACATATATACCAAGTTTCATCAAAATCTGATAAGCAGAATGGGATCTGAATAGGGTCAGTTTAATTGTAACCATCTGTATGTTTCATTATATAATCATTTTGCATTCCAATATATCTTCAGAATACTTTGTATTTTTGTTAGCTTTAAAATTGATTATTCTTCTTATTATGCACTTATTCAATAACTTAACATTTTCAAATCTGTCAAAATGATTATTATTACAGTTCTTAAATCTGTTAATCTTAATCGTCATTTTTGAAATTTCTGTGTTCTCAAATACTTTTTTTTATGTTAAAATTAAATATATTAATTCTATTTTTTTGTTAATTAGCTGTTAGTAATTTCATAGATCAAAAGCAATTCATTATGAAAAATTCCTGACAGTTTCAATAATTATTCTTTTTTCTATATAAAACAAAGTGACAATGAATTTATATTTAATTTCTTTATACATACATTTTTGTCTTTCTTCTTCTTGTTTTCGAGCCAAAAATGCTTGGATAGCATTTGATGTTACCTGACTTGATGAGGTTTTCTTTTCACTAGACTTGGTTTTAAAATTTTGATTCTGAAAAAGTTTTTTACAGATTATTATTTAAATGTTATTTATTAATTCATAAATAAAACTGTAATATAGATAATTAATAATTCTATATATTTAAATAAGAAAAACAAAATCTTAATAATGATTATAACTTTTTATAAGTAACAAGATATCTACAAGATAACAAGAGAGTGAATATAAATATTACACAAAACTTCATGTAATGTTTATATTCACCTTAATATCATATTATAAGGATGTAACACAACTGATGAATTTCCTGCAAGTTTATAGGTTTCTTATTAATAATAATGATATAAATTAAGGTGACTAGATTACTAGATTTTAACATTGATGAAGTAGGACAAAATTAATGGGTGAGAGTGGTTTTCTTGTTGAAAAAAATTGTTCTAAAGCAATAACATTTTGTTATCAAAAAACGCAAAAATTGTATTGTATTATATTTTTTTTAATTTCAACATATGTAAAATTTACAAATATACTAAATTGTGAGATCCGACCTCTGAATAAGCCCAAAATTGTTAATTTTCCCCCCTAAATTTTTGACGTATTTTAAAATAAATTTGTCGCCTCCACGTTAAAATAACATTGTCAGAAAAAAGAATCAAATATCGATCGAAACTTATAACTTTCATCATTAATATAAACATTCAACCCTCAAACAATGACATTCCTCTGCTGCAAGACAAAAAGTTTATAGTTAAAGTCCAAATTCATCATTTTGTTTTGGGTCCCGGGAACAACTTTAACCTCCACACCTGTAGGACCAACTCTACCTCTCACAATAGGAGATCACCTGACTGATTTTCCCAGTCCGAAGCTATAAAAGCGACTTCTTTCCCCCTCCTCGGGGGAATCTCACATCTACGGTCTAAAAGGATTAAGTCTCCGGGAAACTTTAACTTTGTGCGGCGAACTCTGTGCCTATGTGGAAGTTGACTAGAGGTATGAAACAAATTAATGTAAACTCTCTCTCCGCGAGTTAGGGCTAATAGTGAACTTGTTAGATTTTGTAAGCTATTTTTTTTTTTGTTAATCCAATAAATCGTTGTTTCATTGTTAAATGGTGTCCTTTTACTCGCATATCGCCTACACCTCGTCGACGACCCCTCTCACCTCCTCCACTCGACCTGACAAAAAGTATCCTGACCCTTCGGGACTGTTTCCGAAATTTAGCCATCTTGACAAGTGAGCAGGTTTAACGACCTGTCGCCGAAAAGGGAGAGTCGACGGTTCCTGACCTCCCCAGCGGTTCACAAAATATATATACTATTATAAATCTTTAAAAACCATTTATTCTTTAGCATATTTCTCAGTCAAATTAATTTCTTTTTAGTAGTGTGGTATGTAGAAGGACGAACAATATAATACAAAGTCGTATAAAAATAAAAAATTTTATTAAGTTTGTTTTTCACTTGGTCCTACGTACACTCAGTTCTTTAGGATCCCAAACTATGTAGTTCCTATATACCCAATACAGTTCGATATATTCTTTACGTAAACAAAGGCGGGTGATACGTGTTCATGACAAACAAAAGGTTTAACTTGAGATATATTTCCTTAATATTATGATTAACTTAAACTATCTTAACCTAACTTATATACTAAAGAAGAAGAATTTAAAGAGAAGAAATACGAAGGAATAAGAAAAAAGGTTGGTGGGGTACCCGGGTCTTTCAAAAGTCTCCGATATCCTTGACATTGGGACTTGTGCTCAATTCACTGTCTTCTCGGTTCCTATCTGTATCAGCTATTGAAATTTCAAGGAATTCTCAAAGCCCTCAATCTTAGCGTTAGTCCAGTTTGTTCGTTTTCAGATGATCTCAAGTCAGTTCCTTGTCTTACTCGACGACAACTTCGACCTCTCCTTTTCTTTCCGTCTGCTCTCCTCGGACGCTACCTCTGGAATGTTTGTTTCTCTTTTCCTGATGCCCTCAGGGCTTTTTCGTTTTCCTTTGTTTCCCCTCTTCGTTCCTGGACAAAGGTTGCCCCACCCGTAGAGAAAGAATAAATGAGAAAGTTCTAGAAACAGTAACGTGAAAGACAAAGGATTTAGATTAATATAAAACTTATATTTAACCTCTATGTACACAGGCACGGCATGTCGGGTTGATCCCAACTTACCGATTAAAGTAAATCGACCGACATAACGTAAAAAAACATGACACTTTTATTAACTAGCAGATTAAATTCTAACTCCATCTTACAATGTTTTTTTTTAACGAGCAGTATCACAGTTCGTGGAACGTAGCGTAGGGTCGACTGGTCGTCTCGGCAGCTAGTCCAGAAGTAGTTCATCGGCTAACGCTCCAGGCAATTTACCGCCTTACAGAAATGTTGACTATTAGTTCACGACAAGAAGAAGTTCGCGACCGCAACAGGCATACCGCCACAGTAGATTGCTGTTGTCGTTTTTAAAATGTCATGAAATTTTTTGCAAGAATTTGTTAAATTATATTTCACACATAATATGGCTTTCAAAGTCTCACACTTAATTGTGATTTACCAGATGTCCACACATTATTTACAGTAGAAAAAATTTGTTCAGTCCCGGCATTAATTCTTGGTAAGGACAGTGTGTATTCCACAATTTTGAATGCATTATTGTATGGAACATAGTTTGTTTCAAAATGATGAAATATTTCTAACCATTTGTTCTCTGTTGAGATTTTTGCTACCTGTGACAAGTACCTATGACAGACTATATTTTAACAATTATTTCAATCCTTCTGTATTTCTTTCTAAATAATAATAATGCTAACTTGTATTACTTTTTCCCTAAATTTGCCTTGAATGTCACTATATTATTGTAATTTTTTTTATTATATAATACTATCGTAACCAAAATGAACTCCAGCCCCACCACTAGCAATAGAACGATACAAACTGATGTGCTTACTCTCACTAGTCGCTAGCTTTCTAAGGCAACAACAGATGAGAGCTCTGCACCATGTAACATGCAACGAACAAAATGTTTGCTTGTTTGGACAGCATGTGAACAGATGCTGCTCCGTTGCTGCAGCTATGTACCTCAAACCATTTTCTGTCAGTCTTTGCCACAAACACAAAGGGTTTTGTCAGCGCAATATTCATTTCCGATGCTCATCCATTTCCAAATAAATTTTTTAACATGAAAATGCTTGCCAAAGGTAATTGAAAACATTTGTTTTTCTCCATCGTTTTGTGTTTCATGAACTGAATTTTTGGTTGTATAAGTGTTTTGTAAAAAATTATATTCTTATATATGATTAAATTCACTAAAATATAAAAAGAGGTTTAAAGTTATATATCATACTCTTTTATACATATTAAAAAGAGGTTTAAAGTTATATATCATACTCTTTTATAATCCAAATTAGCCATGACCATCTGTTTTATCCAAGTTTTCAGTTTTCCAAGATAGCATTGGTCCACATTACCTCAGATGATTGGTGTTCTACTGTAGTTTGAAGAATTCAGTAAATCAACTTGAATATATTTATTTTATGCCATCAGCATATTTAAATTTACTAATGTTTGTAAATTTACTAATGGTTACTAAGCTTTTATAGAATTTCCTATTTAGTGACAAAATAACAACTGTACATGAATCATATGTAATAAAACTCAACAAAACAAATGGAAGTGTTACTAATTGATAATGATTTCAGTTGATGAATACACAGTATTTTTATTTTCTACAAATAAAAACATCTTGTTAGATAGTAACATTCTTTACATATAGTAATTTTCATTTGTTTATTATCTCTTTAAATATTAAAATTTTGTTGTATTTTTGTTAACTTTCCCTTCAAACTCAATTTTAGATTCAGTTTCACTTGAATTAATCCTGGTAGTTTTCTGTTTTCCTCATATTGATTTCTGTTTTATTACTCAATGTTTCTTACTTATCTGAAATCTGTCATGAATGGTTTGAACATTCATAACATATTAATTTTTTTTGTTATTTTGATCTTTTATATTTTCTATAACCTGATACTGCTTGAAAGAGAAAAATAAATCAGTCATTTGTATTTAAAATTGGATTGGATTTGTTTTGTGATATATGTATAAATAGGTCAAATGACTCATCAGTATCTCATGACTTTTTCACAGCAGGTATTGGTCTAGTATTAATGTAACATATAGAAAATCAACAAAATTTAATGTTTATTATCCTATAGTCAGAAATGTTAAATATTACAATTGGTTAAAATGACTTCCCTTTCGATTTATGAAATGTCCCATTTCCCACAAGTCCATTTCAGTTTTATATAAATTTTTATTAATAAAGAGAGAGAAAATTTTCAATATCATGTGTCATAGTAATGTGTTTTTATCCACATTACTATAAACTAAAGTGACCAGACATACTGAATTATGTGGGACTGTCCTAGATTTAAGTTGTTTGTCCTACATTGAAAACTGTCCTAGAAAATATCCCAGATTGGATATGTAATCTAGCATTTTCACAGTGGTACAAAGTTGTTGTTTCTTATAGTGCATATCAGAAGTTGCTATTTTTGATAAGTGGCAACAAATGTTTCTTTATGTTTTGTCATGAGTTTGTTGTATAGAAATCTGAAGTGGAGAAAAAGCTAATAGTGTTGAATGCATATGACAAAAGTGTATTCATTTGAACAGTTCAGAGAGTTAATGATGTGAGGCCCTGGGCTGGGATGAAAAAAACACCATTTTAATCATATATTCAAACAAAAACAAATCTTGATCTTTGCAATTAATTAAAATTAAGAAAACTAAATTATAAAAGAAAAGGGAAAAAGTAAAATTATTTTAATATTAAAACCACACAGTAAAAACAGAGAAAAATTAATAAATTAAATTCTTTATAAGACAAGATAAACAAAAAAGAAAATGTTAGTTAAGGTATAAGGTTCATTCAACACCGAATGAAAGGCTGTGTTGAATTGTATTAATAAACAATTATCTTTCTCTGGAACTGAATTGGTCCAATTTCAACAGGTAACAGAGAAAGGCTAATTGGGTACCGAGAAAGGGGGGTT